TGACTGTTTTCTTCCTGAGGTCAGCAGGTTAAAGCAGCCAACAGGTTTCGCAGCACAACTTACTGTACAGACTGCGTGGCTCCTGGGTTGAAGAGTTAATCAGTATTAGTCTGGTATGACTGTGACGTGACCGGGCGAAAGGGTTAGGTAACAGTTTGTAAATGGCTGCTGGAGTTTAACATTATGTGGAATTTTATTTAGCACCACTTATTTAGCCATTTTAGCGCCACGGCTTTGATGGTGCATCTCCATCAGTCATTTCTTCTCCACTTCTGCAATACCTTGGAAGATCACCTGACTTCTTCACAAAGCTATTTCCTGTTAAATGTCTTCAAGGGTGTGGCCAAGTTGCCATGAAATTGCAAAGCATTGAGTTAGGCTGTTGACCTTAGCTGTCACAGACAACAGTGGCTGAAGATTTACTACTGTGTGTCTGCACTGAGCTGAGCCAGTTCATTATGTAACGACACCTCTGCAGAGACAGAGGCTGAGTTAAACTTCACATTGTAGAGTTTTGTTCTGTTTTAAACCTTCATTGTAGCGGCTTCCTGTTTTTTAGAGGTTTTATTCTTCTAGTAAAAATAGTTTAACTGCAGCCACGAGACATTTTCTGTGACTGTTATTGTCAGTCACTGTGCGTTATTACAACTTACATTATATTGGCTACAAATTTTAAGTATTGATGAGTTACCTTTACTTAGTATTGTTATTTTAGATGTCCTTTTCAACCATTCATTCTTAATTTTCTCACTTTTTCTTGCTAAGAACCTTTTTTTTAAATTTAATTGTAAATTGTAACTCTTGAAAAGTGAAAGGTGTGAGCGCCTGGAGTACGCCTGGTTGGGAATCAGTGCATTGTCCGCTTGGATTTATGTTGCCGAGTAAACTACAGACATGCTCTGTGTATGCTATTTTAGCAGCATTACAATATACATGTATATGCAACATATTCACATTATAGCACTCCCTTTAACCGATCATTTTTTTAGTTACTTAACCCTCATAGTATCTTTTTTCATCTTTCTTTTCCATTTGGATTTATTTGCTTCTTTCTCACTTTAATTTCCTTTCCTGTTTTGATCCCTTCCTCGGCTCCCTGACTCTCTGCCGCTTTCTCCCTTCAGCCAATGAAGCACCGTGGCCCACCATCACTAAGAGCGTAACAGACTGGAGGACCAACAGTCCAGAACAGGTACTGGTGTAATTCTCAGTTATATTAGCTTTTCTCATGAATTCTGTGATCATAATAAATAATGTTATAGAGGTATCAAGGCTCGCTTGAGGCTTCTGCTTAGCAGAGAAGTGATGGTGTGAACTTTTCAACTCAAAATGTCTAAGGATGTTTAATGTCGAAATTCTGCAACTAAAACCAAACAAAGGACCCGCTTAAGGTTAAAGCAACCATCAGTTCATTCAGGTCTGAGATGATCGGGCACTGCTGAGGACGCTGCTCTGTGTGGGAGATACGATTTTTATTTATTTATTTATTTATTTTTATTTGAATTTTATTTTATTTTATTTGTATTCTTTCACTTATTGTT